TAAACAAATCCTGCCTGTGACGGACCCGCTGGCACTCCGACCGAGTACCTCCGCCAATCGATGCTCCTAGTGCTTGCCGAGGACTTCAAGCACTCCAACCGACACCATCAGCACTGCAGACTTATCCCATCCCCCAAGCATGAGCCAAGGCTTCAAGAAAGGGTCAAGCAGGTCTGTTTTAATGAGCACACAAAGCAACAGCATTCACGCAGCAAAAACAACTCCTCCTCAGAGGAAAACAAACTGACAGTTAAATGGGTCAGACAGAGTTTGAAAATATGACAGTTATTAAGGGTTTAAACTGGTGTTCTAAGAAGGGAGGGGAATAAAACAGTCAAACTAAGTCCATAAAACAGGGGGTTTTCTTCACACTCTGCATCCAAAGTGCTTAGCAAAACTTCAGATCCTTTGTCAGAGCATTTAAAGGGCCAGAACCAGTCTAATAAAATCCACTATGCTCAAATAACATATTTCAAGGGCAAAATCTTCCAGGGGCCATAGTCCAGGGCAGGAGGCCTTAATAAACTTAATACATTGTATAACTCATTCTGCCGCTTTGTGCTACAATGTACTAACATGACCCACCATTGTGACATGCTAAAAGAACTGGCTGAAATCCAGACGCACCCTTCATCTTTCCAGCCTTTTGTTTAAGAGCTTTTCTGGGAAGCTCCCACCCTACCTGAGCAGAATGAGGATACTACTTTAGGACGAAAGGCAGGAATAGTACGAAGAATGACTCTGTCTTTTTCCAGAATTAGAAAGAGGGACTTGCAGGAAAGTGCCCCAAGCTCTGAGACTCTTCTTCCTGAAGTAATGCGATGAAAGAAGGCCAAAAAAGACTTTCAAATGAACAGAAAAGGGCATAAGGAGTCCCCCAGCATTAGAAAAATCTTCAGGAAACTCATTTGTGCTTCCAAATTCACTAAGAGACTGCAAGGATTTTTGCCGCCCTAGGCAAAAGAAAGATTTACTTACCGAACATCACAGTACTTACCAGCGCGAAGACTAATGCCAGTGCTGCACACAGTGTGTGTTTACATTAAAAGCCTGCGAGGGGACAAACTATAGACACCAGAACAACTTCATTAAGCTGCAGTGGTTCTGGGGACTATAGTGTCCCTTAAATGTGAGGTAAATTAGAGTTTAGTGTCACTAATAATATACTAGATTGCCTACTTACAACCAGATGGGGATGGTGATGGGCTCTGGCTGCAGTTTGGCTCCACTGGTCTGGTGTACAACAGGATCTCACGGAGGCTGTTTGCAACTGTGGTCACAAAATTCAATGTTCTGGGAGAGCGGAAGCAGCTCCATTTTTTTGGGGGCCCTCTTACATAGCTCAAGGGTCTGGGCCCCAGGGGCCTGGCCGGGGGTAGTATGCCATAAAGCCCACCATAAGGCCACCCTACATGTTCACCACCCATGAACTCACAGGGGTAGGGGAGGTGGCCGGGGGATGTGTTATGTGTTACTGTAGTGGATCTAATGTGTGTGCTTACGGAATGTAGTGTATAGGGATACCAGTTTGTGTAGGTGATGCAGTGTGTTTGTGTGTAGTGGAAGCAGTGTGTTTTTGTGTAAGGGATAGAAAGCGTTTGTGTATAAGGGATGTATTGTGTGTTTCTTGTTGTGTGTAAGGGATGCATTGTGTGAATCTGTGTTTGTATACATAAGGGATGCAAAGTGTGTTTCTGTGTATGTAAGGGATGCAGTGTGTGTGTCTGTAAGGGGTGCGTTGAGTGTGTGTAAGAGATGCATTGTGTTTCTGTGTGTGTGTAAGAGAAGCAGAGTGTGTTTGCATGTGTGTGTAAGGGATGCATTGTGTGTGTTCTGTGTATATGTGCAAAGGATGCATTGTCTTTATGTGTAAGGGTTGCATTGTGTGTTTCTCTGTAAGGGAAGCATGTTGTGTTTCTGTGTGTATAGGGATGCATAGTGTGTGCGTGTGGTGTGAAAGAGCTCCCTGTCTCCCTGTCCTATAGAGCTCTCCCTTCCATTTCTTAGTGATCTCCCCTGTCCCTTAGTGGTCTCTCCTCTCCCCCCCACCTCCCTTAGTGGTCTCCTTTTCTCCCCGACTTTCCATTAGTGGTCTCTCCTCTCCCCCCACCCTCCCCCAGTGGTCTATCCTCCACCCCCCTCCCTTAGCGGTCTCTCCACTGCCCCCTCCCTCCTTTAGTGGTCTCTCCCTCCCCTACTTTCTCATCTCCCACCCCTCGTGTTCTCCTCTTCTTCTCCCCCAGTGTTTTCCTCTTATTCCCCCCCCTCCCTGTGTTCTCCGCTTCTTCTCTCCCCTGTAATCTTGTCTTCTTCTCCCCTCCCCCCCGTAATCGCTTCTTCTCCCCGTAATCTTCTCTTCTTCTCCCCCCATCAATCTTCTCCCCCATCAATCATCTCCCCATCCTCCAAAATAAATCTTCTCCCCATCAATCATCCTCCCCTCCTCCCATCAATCATCTCCCCATCATCTCCCCATCATCATCCACCCCCCTCCCTCCCATGGAATCATCTCCCCCATCATCATCCTCCCCCCTCCCTCCCATCAGATCATCTCCCCATCATCATCACTTCATCATCATCCTGCCCCCTCCCTCATCAAATCATCTCCCCATTATCTCCCCTCCATCTCCCCCATCATCATCTCCCCCCCTCCTCCCATCCAGTAATCTCCCCCCTCCCCCCTCCCTCCCATCAAATCATCTCCCCCCCGGCCCCCCTCCCTCCCAGCAGCTTCTCCTCACCTCCCCTGCCCTGTAGCGTGGCCGAGCGTGGCCGAGCTCCTATCCGGTCCGCGACCCGGCGGACTGACAGGAAGTGCACACTCAGTGTGCACTTCCTGTCAGTCCGCCGGGTCGCGGACCGGAAAGGAGCTCGGCCACGCTACAGCAGGGCAGGGGAGGTGAGGCAGTGCGCAGCCGCCTGAGCGCTCTCTATAGAGCGCTCAGGCGGCTGCAGAATTTAAAGGGCCGGCGATGGGGGCGCAGGGCGCCCCCTCCTATATGGCGCCCTAGGCGGCTGCCTAGTTCGCCTTATAGGAAGCGCCGGCCCTGGTCAGGACCCAGAACAGCCACAGATAATGGGAAAGCCAAGGAACCCCAGAATTATACAGCAGTAGCCTAACTCAGAAATTATCACCACAATGGCACATCCAGCTACTAACCACAGGGTCATAGGTCCCCGGTTGCTGAGGGGAGAATCCTCCAGGCAGTCACCCTTGGTGAGGCGCCGTGTACTCACTAATTAGTGCCAGACTGCTAATCCAGCATGCTGCCTAATTGAAAGTGAGATTTACCTCAACCTGGAAGTGATTGCCTCCTGTTGCTTAGGATGTGTTACCCTGGAAACCCAAGAAATTGTAATTTACGCCAAAACATTTTTTTAAAGGTGATATATCCTGTGTGTGATGTATATCCACCACCAAAACATTATTTATTACTGTCACAATTTATATACATTATATGAGAACCAGATTATTCAAAATATCCTATTCTCCTGTGTTATAAGCAATCCGGCAGGCCAGGGTACAGAGCTCCAAAGGGAGCAGGCTGATAGTAAGTCTTAATATAACTCTCAACAAGAGGCCGTGCCGCTCAGGGTGGCAAAAATGACCATCGGCACCCTCCAGAGGCCGCACGAACACCCGGCAGAGGAGGCAGATAAAGAGACATGCCGGTGAGAGCCGCTGGAGCTGACTACCCCATCGTACTGACTGCCAAGCAGGAAAGGTGCCACAACAAGAGCAGGACGGGTCCGAACCACCGCAGATGCCAGACAGACGGCTGCTTCAAGACACAGGAAAGAGGTACTCACCTGCAGCACCTGGCAACCCGGCCTCCAGAAGTGGCATTTTTCACACACACTGTTCCTTTAAATTTTAAACC